CCATTCATTATTCACAAGGTGGTAATTTTGCCCCTAAGACCCCAATGTGGGTCAGTGGCACTATGCCCGGGTGGGCTAATCCCCATAAAAAAACAACAACAACAACAAAGCCGCAGGAAATAAGGTTTCTTTACATCCGGTAGTTCGGCTGCTCTCTCTCTCTCTCTCTGCGTGTCTATACAGAGTACAAAATTTAACCCTTCAATATATATGAGCAGTAAATAAGTGTTGCTTTCATATTCTTATGTAGAGTAATGACGATATGTTTTCATATGTGCGCACTTACATACGTGCAGTCTCACTTTTTTTTCTTTACCATTAATGGTTAGCTTGTAGTGGATTTCTCCCCTACAAACGCTGTTTGTCGCTGAGTAGCCGACCCCACCAATTCCCCAGTGTATGCCTCGTGGTCTGGGTCAACCAGCGCTGCCATACATCACAGAGCGGGGGTCAACTACTAAGCCACGCCTACCCCTGATATTTAAGACCTGACGTCGTGGGGACCTGCCTCTTTCTACCTACACCAACCAGCCAGCAACACCTCCTCCTCCGCCGCTGCCTGATGGTCCTCGCTCCTCCTCCGCCTGCCTGCCAGTCCTCGCTCCCACCGGAGAGCATGGCGACCCACAAGCTGTCCTCCTCTGAGCATCCTCACCAATCAGCTCTCTCTACATCACGCTTGTAACCACGCTGCCTTCCCAGCACCAAGCTGCATTGTACATCCAATACCACATGTATACAGAGAGCACATTGTGAGTTTCATTTCTCCATTCCATCCTGAGTGTGAACCAAACAATCTTGAACCCCACAATTGGTGACTCCCGGATATTCGCACTCACACAGGATGGAGGAGAAACTGATCACGCTCCCAGTCTTCATGCAACATGAAAGATTGGCTTATCCACCCAGAAGCAGCTCTCATCGGCTCTACAACTACTGTCTCTACACCGCAGGTTAGACACCCTAGAGCAGCTCTGCTACTCTAAGCAGACAGTCGCTCCTCTTCCGACACCAGCACACCCGTCCTGCCTCAGACGCCGACCCCGGCCCAGCAGTAACCCCTGCCACCCCTGATGCGGTCTCTGTTCCTGAGTGCGGACCCACACCCCTCTTTTCTCCCTCAGGTACTCCCTGCTAATGTCCTGCACCCTGCTGCTGTCGTGGACCCAGCTGCTGTAACGAGCCCTCATCCGCTTCTGCTGACGGAGCCCCTGCTCCTGACCCAGGCCCACACACCCCAGCAGGCGCATCTGACGACTCTGTACCTGCCATGAGGGAAGCACAACATTCATCGCCTCCACACACCCTCTTTCTCCCTCTCTTCTCCCACAGATAGTGTGTATCTAGACAGTTGTATCCAGCGACAGGCTCATCCACGCCATCGCCGTTGTCTCACATGAGGCATGCACCGCCCGTTCTGCCTCACATGTGCTATGCAACCCTGCAGACAACAAGTCTCCTACACCGCCTGGAGGGAAGGAGGAGTATTGTAGTGGATTTCTCCCCTACAAACGCTGTTTGTCGCTGAGTAGCCGACCCCACCAATTCCCCAGTGTATGCCTCGTGGTCTAGGTCAACCAGCGCCGCCATACATCATGGAGCGGGGGTCAACTACTAAGCCACGCCTACCCCCCGCTATTTAAGACCTGACCTCGTGGTGACCTGCCTCTTTCTACCCACACCAACCAGCCAGTAACACCTCCTCCGCCTGCCTGGTGGTCCTCGCTCCCGCCGGTGAGCATGGCGACCCACAGGCTGGTCCTCCTCTGAGCACCCTCACCAACCAGCTCTCTCTACATCACGCTTGTAACCATGCTGCCTTCCCAGCATCACGCTGCATTGTACATCCAATACAACATGTATATAGAGAGCACATTGTGAGTTTCCTTTCTCCATTCCATCCTGAGTGTGAACCAAACATCCCATACCCCACAAGCTACTTAAATTGTTCCATTTATTACTTTAAATAACATTACTTCAAACAAACATATTAAATATATATATATATATATATATATATATATATATATATATATATATATATATATATATATATATATATATATATATATATATATATATATATATATATATATATATATATACACACACACACACACACACACACACACAGTGACCCCTCGGTTCGAACTCAATCCGTTCCAGAAGGTCGTTAGTTAACGAAAAGTTAGTTAACGAAACCATTGTTTCAATGGGTTTTTGGGTAATTGGTTCCAGCTCACCGAAAATTTCCTAAATTCAACAAAAATGGTAGAAAAGTTCACTTACTTTGAGGTGTGTATGTAGAAGGCTCCTGGATGATGATGATGATGATGGGATTTAGAATGGGGGTGGAGGAGAAGGAAGAAAGAAGGCATTGGGGTGGAAGAGAAGTCACCCCATGGCGCCATTTCACCCATAAAATTTTAGCTCTCTTGGTGTAATTCAAGATTATTTTCTTTAAATCAACACTGCACTGCATTATATATTGTCAATATGTAAAATATATTTCAAAATGACCAATAATTTGCTTGGAAACACAGAAAAAAGCGTTTAGTTGAAGAGAGTCTCAAGCAAGATGTTACCTCCAGTGAAAACAGAGAGAGACTAACGCCTGTTTGCTGTGTTAAGAGGCTGGATGCCGCGCCTTAAACTAGTCACTTTACCTTCAATTTTGTTCAATAATTGTTAAAATGACTAAAAAATTTAATATTAAACTTTAAAAATTATTGAATAGTATAAACTTCTTGATATTTACTAAAATAGTAAGGAATTTAAGCCCTAGAACCGATTAATGTATTGGCGGACCGATACTAAAGCTGGTTGCCCGGTCAGTGCAAGCGAAAACATGTTGAGGTCGGTTCGTAAGAACTTCGTTAACCGAATTTTTTTTCGTTAACCGAATTGAAGATCCTTATGGAAGGCAGTTCGTTAATCGAAATTACGTTAACCGAGGTGTTCGTTAAACGAGGGGTCACTGTATATATATATATATTCATGCTGATAACCACAAGGAAAAAGAAAACACGAAGTTCCCAAGCGCTTTCGTGTAATTCACATCTGTGCCAAAAATTTCAGAAACTGAATCTATTATTTCAATGGGATATTGGGTAATTGGTTCCAACTCACAAAAAAAGTACATACAAAGTACTGTATACCGGTAATAGAATTAACAAAACATTAAATATAAACTAAATACAGTACAGTGGTCCCTCGGTTAACGAGCACAATCCCTTCTAGAAGGTTGCTCGTTAACCGAAAAACTCATTAACCGAAACCATTGTTTCAATGGGTTTTTGGGTAATTGGTTCCAGCTCACCGAAAATTGCCTAAATTCAACATAAAAGGTAGAAAAGTACACTTACTTTGAGGTGTGTATGTAGAAGGCTCCTGGATGATGATGATGGGAATTAGAATGGGGGTGGAGAAGGGAGAAGAGAAGGCATTGGGGTGGAAGAGAAGTCACCCCATGGCACCATTTCACCCATAAAATTTTAGTTCTCTTGGTGCAATTCAAGATTATTTTCTTTAAATCAACACTGCACTGCATTATATATTGTCAATATGTAAAATAAATTTCAAAATAACCAATAATTTGCTTGCAAACACAAAGAAAGCGTTTAGTTGAAGAGAGTCTCAAGCAAGATGTGTTACCTCCACTGAAAAGACACAAAGACTGACGCCTGTATGGTGTGTTGAGAGGCTGGATGGTGCGCATAAAACTAGTTTCATTACCTTCAATTATGTTCAATAAATGTTAAAATGAGTAAAAAATTTAATATTAAACTTTAAAATTATTGAATAGTATAAACTTCTTGATATTTGCTAAAATGGTAAGGAATTTAAGCCCTAGAACCGATTACTGTATTGGCAGACTAATACTACAGCTGGTGGACCGCCAAATGCAAGCGAAATCATGTTCAGGTTGGCTCGTAAGAAACTCGTTAATCGAGGGATTGCTCGTTAACCGAAGTTAAGAATCTTATGGAAGGTAACTCGTTAACCGAGGCGCTCGTTAACCGAGGGCCCACTGTATTGTACTGTACAGTATACTGTACAGTAGTCCATCGGTTAACGAACTCAATTCGTTCCACAGAGTCGTTTGTTAACTGAAAATTTCGTGAACCGAATCTATTATTTCAATGGGATATTGGGTAATTGGTTCCAACTCACAGAAAAAGTATACATTACATACAAGTACTGTATACCAGTAATAGAATTAACAAAACATTAAATATAAACTAAATACAGTACTGTATTGTACAGTATACTGTTCAATAATAAATAAAAAACAATAGAATACTGTATTTTAACTTACTTTGAGGTGTGTATGTCTTATTCCCGGCTGCTTTGATTACATATCAAACAGCCATATGTAGAGGCAGTCGATGATGACATGCCATATTCTTTACAGAGTGCATTGGTTCTAATGCCTTCTTCGTGTTTCATAATAACTTCTGCACTGTATATTATCAATATGTTAACTAAATTTCAGAATGACCAATAATTTTAATGTAAAAATGCAAAAATATTCAAGAGACAAACAAAATCGATGTTCACTCCACTGTACACAAAGTTAAACTGAGAAGCGTTGTTGGGTGATTCAATCAGCTGATGGGCACACAAAAACTGTTCCCTGTACTGTCTATATTATCAATATGTTAACTAAATTTCAGAATGACCAATAATTTTAATATAAAAAATGCAAATATTCAAGAGACCAACTTTCATGATATTTACTCCACTGAAAACGAATGTAAACATAGAACCAATTACTGTATTGGCGGACTAGCCCATCAGCTGATGCACACAACAAAATGTGTTTGTTGTAAGGATTTCTTTAATAAAGGTTTTGTTCGTTAATCAAACTGAAATTTCTTATGGGAGCTACATAATTCATGAGCTACAGTTAATTAGGCTCATTAATAAAAAGCCACTATTACTGTAATTAAACTTTCTTTGGCATACCTAAAAGCATAATAAACAAGTAAAAGTAATGATTATTACTGATAATTTTATTTACATATTATACAAATTCAAAGTGAATGCCAATTACAAACTTCACTGGGAAAGTGCATCACATGTGGCGATAAATCTGCTTAGGAATATATCAGTTTTAAAACATAAAATGTTATCTGTTGACATAGGTAATGTGGAGAAGGATGATCTGTATAAAATATTTTAATTACAAGGTGAAATTATGAAGACTAGTATTCACGGGTCCTACATGTGACCACAAAACTCATAGGGATGGGTCTATGACACAAATTCTATCACATCTGAGTACTGTATTTAAGAGTTAAAAAATGGAGGGATTCAATTCTTCTATTAATATGATGTCTAATGCTTCACAATATATATATATAAATAATTTACTGATAGTAATGAACAATTGGAAATGTTCATTTTGTATTTAGAAAACACAAAAATTACTTATTAAGAAACATTCTTCCGACTGTTGTAGTTGCTTATCCTTATCGTTACCGTCACTGCCCACGTTCAGAGCAGGTTGGTGGCGTGTGTAAAACCTTCCTCAAACTTATCAGCTGCTGGCCATCTCCACATGTCTGAGTGTCAAAAATCTAAAAGTAATCCTCAGAGTATTTGTTTAAGAACTCTTCAGTCAGTTGGTTTACATCATACATGAAGCACCAACATGTAGTTAAAATCTGAAAGTAATTAAGGAATAACAAAATTAAATGTAAATTGCTGTACAGGGTATTTTATAAAATTGTTTTATGTATCAATATTTTGAAAGAAAAATAAATTAAAGTAAATCCCATATGTAAAATTCAAGGAAATTTCAAATACAGTAATGTATAAATTTTGTTAGATTTTCATATAATAGTTAGAGATGCTTTGGATTTTTAATTTTTTACAAACTGAAAAGTCAAACCTTAATTCACTATTCAGTAATTAACAAATTACTGTATTAAACAAGTTTCAATTAAAATTACAATAGTTACTTCCTGAATGTGCAACATATTTAGACTAATAAGGTACCTGTATACTACAAATATTTTAATAAATTATACAATATCTGATTCTGTTTACAACTTACATGAAGTCAACAGACAATACACATTTAAAAATATTTATCCCCTTTATATTCTTGCTAAACATTACAAAATGGTAAAAGACATCTGCTTGAGAAGCAATATGTATTTTATGGAGATAATATACGAGCAGTGAATACTGTGTACAGTACCATGTAAATTCTCTATGTATCTCAAGTTCAATTACAGTACAGTACTGCTGAATATTGATTTATATTATGACAAAATTAACTATTAATGTATATAATCTTGTACAGCTAAGACTCAGCTCACACATTAATGATCTATTGAGGGTAATTGTCACTTCCAGTCAGCAAGAATGTGTTTTGTAATGATTATAACACTACTATATATATATATACGTATATATATATATATATATATATATATATATATATATATATATATATATATATATATATATATATATATATGGCCATAGATTGATAATTTTTTTTTTTTTTAATATATGAAGTACAGTAATGAACTCACATTTATAATTCAAAATTATCTAGAGTAAAATACTGATATTCAATCTCATTAGTAACTTTCCTGTTACAAACAAGTATCCTATCTTTTCACAAGCTCACATAATAAGTAAAGAAACATATTTATTTTTTTTTAATTCTGGTAAAATCCATAGCAGATTTAGGCTGCATCAGAGGAATGGGAAGTATACAAAGTACCCATAACCTGATGCTTCACAAAACGTTCTGCCAGTCATGAAGTGGTAACTTGAAGTATTAGTTCTATTAGTTTAGGTGAACTCACTGAAAACTAACCAACACTGAGGTCAATAATAGGATTCTCCCTAGGAAAATAAAGAGTAATACGGGTAAACGGCATCAAGTAATCAATGTTGAGATGATCTATGTTCACAATAGAAAAATGTCGAGTCTGTACTGTAAAACTGAAGGTAACACAACAGTACTCCAAGATTAGGGTAGTTGTCAAGAGGCAGACCGAGAGAATATTTGAAGAGTACCTGGTTTCACCCATGACAGACCATTGCCATTGTCCTCCTTTAATGTGCTCTCTGGTTCATTCTGTAAAAAGAGCATTAATGCTTCAAATATTTAAAATGTGAATTTTTTATATAATTATAAATACTTATTCCACTGTGTGAAGATTGAAACAAAAATAAAGACAAGAAGAGAAGAATCTCCAACTTACTCTTTCCCTCTTCAGTTCCTCCCGGACTGGATCATGGATAGCTGGTTGGTATGGGGAAAACACCAAGGCATGAGGATCATTTGTCACTGTTGTTTCGTATATTGTCACCTTACTCTTATCAACACATTCCCGCACTCGTAGTAAGAACATTTCATTATCACTATCATATCTGAAATAGATAGCAAAACAAATTGTTCAGTGGAAATTCATAATACATGTATGATGAATCTATATTGTACAGAATGTATCGGTAAAACATATTCATATGCAGTATAAATTTTTTGATGAATTGGTTAATCTGTGATAGATAGGCCACCTACATGTCCATAGTCTACACACCCATAGCCATCCATGTTTGTAACCGCCCATGATTTTATGAAATCCAGTCACTGTGGGTGTAAGTGTTTACAGTACACGTCAAGCTGGCCATTAAGTAATATATTGTACCCAACCGACTCTAGTGATAAGGGAATACTATATGCTTTACCATCATAGACCCTCAAACTGGGTGCTTGAGTCCTAGGTGCCATGTGATCTATGTAAATAATTCTGTGAGACCGAGGTTAAGCAATTTATTTAAATGCCAACAGAATTGACCCTTAGTTTGTGTGATGAGGCTGTTCAGTACTGTAATGGTGACTGATACAATATGATATTCAGTACCGTATATCACGGCCTATAAGACGAAATTTGAACATTAAAAAAATCTGCCCAAAGTTAGGGGGTCGTCTAAACCACCAAGTTTAAAATTCTTACCTCTTAAATATTGTGGTTTAGTGTGTCAAGAGTGGTGATGAAAACATCGTAAGCCACTCACAAGGTCTTACCACTAATTATTTTATACTGAAACTTACGTTTGGCAAGCTGGATTCAAATTAAGATTACCGGTATATTAAAATAATAAAAATGTATTATAAACCTGTCTAACATACCGTAAAAGAGATTTATACCCCTGTAATAAACACAGCTATCATCACACACCCCTCCCCACGCCCCCCCCATTTGCCAGTGAGGAGACAAGAAAGGAAAAGTGCATTAATTCTTGAAACTATCGACGGTTAATTACAGACGCTCAAGTGACGTCACTAGTGTTTACACTACACCAGCTGGTAATATTTGATGCCATTACTTGAAGTGAATTGGCCTTATTTTAAGTAACTAACTATAAATAAATACAAAAATTAAAAAAAAAGATCAAAACTGAGAAATAATATACTGTATGTATGTTGTGTTGTCAAAGTAAGAGAACAATTGTGTAAGTAGTAATATTTTTTCACTCAAATCCTAATGAAACACTACTGGAGAACATTCCTTTGTCGCAAAACAGTTTATAAATTAAAGAAAATAATTACAGTGTGTTTAATATATTACAGTATATTATAAATAAATAAATAAAACAAATAATTCGGTAAATCTATTTAAAGTAAATGGAAAATAAGCAAACATGTTATTTACCAAGACCCTTCCGTCTGGCTCAGGGTGAGATGGAGGGGAGATAACAAGCTATTTATAGCCCATTTGAAGTGACCAGTACCCTAATGCACCATAAATAATTCATTGAACATTCATTTTTTGTACATAGTATATTCATATATATATATATATATATATATATATATATATATATATATATATATATATATATATATATATATATATATATATATATATATATATATATATATATATATATATATATATATATTTGTGTAATAAATGTATGTAGTAAGTACATACTGGTAACCTTTTTCACTCAAATCCTAATGAAACACCACAATTAGAATACGGTGGTTGCTGTTGAACCACATGTTGACCCTTCCCACCAGCTTTGTCACTGTGTTTACACTACACCAGCGGGTATAATTTGATGACATTACTTGAAGTGAATTGGCCTTATTTTAAAAAATCAAGGATGGTTGGTAAAGGACTACTGAGTCAGTGGGTAAGTGTCACATTTGGGGTACTGGTCTTATACAGCAAATAGAGCTCAAAAGCTACTTTTTAAATGGAAATTTGGGGGGGGCGTCTTATGCACCCCGCCGCCTTATAGGCCGTGATATACGGTACAGTATATGATAAAGTATTCAGTCTTAGGAATAACTGTGTGAGGACTGGTTCCCTTGACTGCATATAATGTGCAAAATTAGGTCCGAGTGAACAATGGAAAATGTAGTGGAGATTGTAAAATTTTTCTATGGTTTATTTATTTTTTTTTTCAATGTTAGGGACAAATAATGTTGATGTGAAAGTTAAAAGATCACAAACGGGATGGGTCATGAAATATCCAACTGACCCCATGGCAGCCAAGAAGCACAAAGGGTAGTAAAAAATAAATCCCAAAACTTAATAAATACTTACAAAACAGCAGCCTCTGGATTAAGTGGATGACTTGTCTCAATTTTGTAGAAACATCGCCGTACATACAACAGTACGTGCCACAAGTGATTTACATTTCTCCGCCATTTATTAGCAAAGCCACGTTTAATGTCTAGCTCTCGGGTATCGGGATTAATTAAAGGATGGAAGACTGGAGTTTCAAATATCACGGTCTGAAATGCCAAGATATGTAACATTAAAATATATTAGTACGGTACTGTATAAAATATGGTTACATATACTACAATCATATTACCAGTGACACTAAAGACAAAAATAATTTAGTTTATATATTAACAGAAAATACACAATACATGTACAGTATTCTTGACCACGGAGAAAATATAAATGGTAGGTATTTATAATCACTTTGAGTGTCCACATTTTATATACTGTACTGTATTGTACATGTTTTTCTTCCCACAGTACCCAGTTTTAAACATCCATAGGTTTCCACAACCACTATAGCAGATTTCTAGCCCAATGCGGCAGGACTGCAGGTGGGTTCCATTAGCCAGAATCCCTCTTAGCTAGAACTCTCCAATAACCAGAATTGAAATTTGCTCTAAATTTTGCCAAAAAATTCCGTGTTTGGGAACAATTTTACAAGATTAAAAATCAGGCACATTTTCTGGAAAATTCCAAGTAAAATTCCGAAAACTCTCTCCATTTTTTTCCAGGGTCTGGGAGCAATTTCTGAGGACAAAATAATGAGTAATTCTGGAAGATTCCAGAAACTCTGCAAATTTTTTTCCAGGTCTAGGAAAATATTCCAAGGATGAAATAATGCGTCATTTTGGAAAATTACGGAAACTCTTCATTTTTTTCTTCTGCGTCTGGGAGCAAATTCTGAAAATGAAATAATACAAACTTTCAGGAAAATCCTGAGTAACATTTCCCAGTACAGTACCTGGAAAAATTCCAGGGATTGGGGATTTTTTCTGGGTTCGAGAGAGTCACCTCGTTAGCCGCAAATCTCTCATTCCCGGAAGTGCTCTGCACAAAGTGTTCTGACTAACGGATTAGTCAGGTCAGGTAAATGTCAGCCAATCAGGCTGTGACACATGGAGAGGAGAGGTGCAACTGGAGTACCCGTACTCCCTCCCCTTGCTGTATTATTTATGAAGATAGGTTCTGTGTTGCCTGAAACATTAGAAAAATAAAGAAAATCGGCTCAACCTTGTGTATCCCTCCCACCCATGTCTGTCTCTGCCTCTCTCCTCTTTCTGAGCCACAATGTGGTTGAGGTTTGTGTTTTCTTTCTAAGGAATATGAGGTGGGAGTCAGTGGTGCTTATGTTGTTCTCCCAATTTGATAGTACTAAGTGCATTTATATTAGGTCTTGTATCATTTATTTGTAAATATATGTAAATAAGGTAGATATACCTAGGTGTTTTTGTTGGTCCTTTTTGCCCTGGATTTCATTCTTCAGCCATGACTGAGTACATGATTTGGGAACACCTAATGAGTATTTCATAAAGTCTACCTTACTTGAAGCTAGCCATAGCAGTATATCACTGTTCTCCAGCTCTGTGTCTTTTGGGGTAAACTTTTAACAACAAAACTGCATATAATTTTACAAGTGCAGGAACAAACTCTTACCGGTACATCTCCATCTGGGTAATTTTCTGGTATATGGAGATTGAAACGAAAGATGCCCTCTTGATAGATCCCCTGACGAAGAAACATTACTCCAAACCACACTGAAATAAACACACTATGTGTATTACTGTTATAATAATTAACAGATTTAATGAGCTGAAAAAATTATTGAATTATTTAAATTAATGTTCACTCTTTATCCTTGCCAGACTTTTTCCACCATGCTGTAGGGTGGCCTTAAATATTGTATAATTTGTAAAATTATACAAATTTTATATCATTGACTTCAATTAACCCAATAAGCGTCCACCAGTTCTGGCAAGTCGCCCTTTCTGGTCCCCAAAATGACCTTTTTGTGTCTTAAATTGTGTTTTTTGTTGTCAACAGACTGAAAACTTGCAAAATTTAGTGCTCTGGGCATTTAAATATTCGCCATGCAATTCTCAGAACCAATTTCTACCAAGCTTTTATAATGTTTTCGCAGTTACCCAGTTTCATCCAAGTGGAAGGACAGAAGATAGTGCATGGCTATTCCCTTGGACACCCTCACCTCCCTACCAAATGTGGAAGGGAAATGCATATGAAACAAACAGGCAAAAAAAATATATATATATACAGTTTTACCCCGCTTAACGCGCTTTCACTTAACGCGTTTTCGCATATACGCGGTGCCTTGCCAAAGCTGAACTTTCACTTAACGCGGGTTTTTCCACATATACGCGGTGAGTGTCCGGCTCGGATGCTATTTTTAGATTTTGACCACGCGCCACCCGCCCGCCCGCCCTCCTGCCTGCCTGCCTGCCTCTCCCTCCTCCTCCCTCCGCTTGGGCAAGCGGCGCGGTAAGGTTGCGCAGTGTGTGTCTTTGTTGCGTTATCACTGACGTCATATGACGTCTCGGACTGTGATTGGCCATGCAGCCCTACCCCCCTCTGCTGCTAGCTGTAATTGGCTTAAAGTATTATGACGTGACTACCCCGGGGAGGGAGGGAGGGAGGAGAGACGACGCTTGACCTAACCGCGGCAGTTTCATCCCTCAAGGCCACCCCGGGTTAACGCGCATCCATTGTTCCGTAAAATGGCTTCCGCCGGACCACCACCGCCCCCAGAGAGAGACCTTTCCTCACCTGGACCCAGCGGCACTAAACCAAAGAAGACACGACGTTCATTAAGCTACGAGGTGAAGTACCAAATTGTTCAAGATTTGGAGAAAGGAAGACGGCAAGTTGATCTCGCGCGCCAGCATGGCGTCAACGAATCTACGATTCGTACGATCAAGAAGGATGCAGCCAAGA